TACAAGATATTATGTGGCCCCAGAACACTGCGAGCTTGGAACATATTGTGTCCCTGTGGATTAAATATGACTGCGCTTATCATGAAACGTATATCAAATTGCTCCTTAACACTTATGCAAAACATCCATTGTTGTATTTCTTGCTTAACTTTCTTTCTATTTTTCTGCTCTCTTAAAGAGTAAGGTGAATGGTTCAACAGTCAGCACTGAAGCCAGAATTTCCACATGACAAATTTCATCATTACTTTCTTTGCTATCGTTGCTAAAAAAAAGTGAATATAGTGGCGACAATAAAACGTTGTTTGAATCGTGATATTTGCTATTCATTCTGACTTTCGTCGAAATTATATTCCCCTAAAAGTTAATCAATCCATTCACATATGTATATTCCTGCAACTGCGGAATGAACTAAGAAAACCTACTCGTTTCACTCTTGACATTTCCGTAACATTGGTGGTGTTTTTTTGTTTTGTTTTGTTTTTTTTTCCGTTTTTTTTGTTGTTGTTGTTGTTGTTGTCCAGCATTGCAGAATTGCAGAACGGGCAATAATTGTACGTTCCAAACATTTGGATTTAATAAATGCCTCAAGAAATGTTTAATCACATATATGCTCAGGGGGGAAGATTTTTTTTCCAAAATCGCAACGTACGTGTTAGTTTAAATAAACAGTTTGAAAACGCCGCATTTGTTTTAACAATGGTAATTGAACTCTTCAAATCGATCTCTTTTAATTATTGAAATAAATTTGTTTCAACCAGTTTGTTAGATTGTGGATTCAAATTTTATCCGTGTGCTTACGGTGAACTTTCCTCCATGTTTTTTTTTTTTATATATATAATTTTCACACCACATCGTAACTCTTCAAAAGTTCCTCCTCACCTTTTCCGGAAGCCGATTTTTCTTTTCTTGTTCACTGAATTCCTCTTCTGAGTTACTATATACCTTTTTATTACTGCGCTCATATTAACCTGAACATGTTGACTGATACACTTTTTAATAAAACGGCTACCTTTATTCGTAATATGTCTATTTAATTGCATTAAGCTTGTTCACTCGCACACGTTTTT